CGACAGGAATTGTCACTCGCACAATCGAGGCAGTGTTGCATCCTCACTAAAGTTTATAAATTGCATTTCTTTTTCATTCTTGCCAGTGTTTAAACCATTCAGCGCTTGCACGCTCTCCTGGAGACCGTGCGCTCATGCACACTCGCAGCGCACACACATAACGCCAGGTTCACATTACTCCATGCGGTGCGTATTTTTTTCCGCACTCGTGTTAATGGTTTAAAGCGTTCACTGCACACGGTTGCGGTGCGGCAGTGCGTTCGAGGAGTGGTGCGTCTGCAGCAGTGCAGAGATCGTTTCCGCGAGTCTATTTTTGTTGTGCTGCACGCGCTGAATTAAAGTAACAGCGCAATGCAGTAAATATGAAAACGAAAATGTACACCATAAACGCATATAATTAAAGTCTAATGTGTTTCACAGTCAACACATATGGATTGATGGCTAGTTTTAAAGGAAAAGAGCACTTTTAGATAAACAAGGCAATAATAGATGGCACTCGTGGAGGTAGGAAAACAAAAGGACTGTGTCTGTCAGTGGTAAGTTTTAATTTAGAATTTTGTGATAACGTAAGAAAAATATTTAAAATGTTTTGCCACTTGCTTGAGCAACTTTTTTGTGCTGTGTGTAAGCTATTGTGCAACAATTGCACAAGTGTAAAAACAAAAATGCACTGCATGATCGAACATTTAGGTGAGATAAATATATATTTTTGAAAAATGTCTAAAAAATGCTCCCCTCCCCCCCTCAAATTAAAATAAAAAATCCCCTCTCACAAGAGTCACAAGAGGGAAATTCCCCCCATTTTCAAAAATGAAATTCAGGCCCTGAATAAATGTCTAAAATTCCTGATTGGAGTATTAATATAAATAATTCTACATGATAAAAATAAGGCTTTAAAAAGATCGGTGATCATATATATATATATATATATAATTTTAAAATGAAAAATTAAAAGTATATTATTAAAACTATTATAAGACAGAAACATGATTCTTTTGAAATACAATTGAACTGTAAAATCAAAAAAATATTTTTTTATAATAAGTATATTAATTATACTACTTTAGAGTTGTAAAATTACAGTACTTAAGACATTTCTTCGCATGCAAGACTTAAACCCTCAAGTGTTTATGTTGGCGGAAAATCTCTGACTACAGGTTTACAAATGCTTCTCATTACAAATCTACCTGAAATGTGTGAAAGCATAACATGCTGTAATCATCTGTCCACAAAAATGTTGGAAATTATGCGAACGTCAAAAAGTATAACTGGTGCACACTGTGTTCACAAATGCAGATCCCCCAGCCCTAGCACAAGCAGTCACAGATAGTCATAGATACTGATTACACTTCCTGCTTAAGCCATACTTTCTCCTGTGCTCACCTATGTTTCACAATTTAACCCATTTTTCACTGCTTTGTTAAAATAGCTAAGAATAATAATAATGTATTTCCTCCTGCAGCGCATGCAGGTGTGCCAGATATAGCAGAGTGGCTTTTTAAAGGATTATGGTGTATACATTACAGTCCTGCAAAGAAACTAGAGACAGCTTAAAATGTTTGTGCTAGCCAGTGCCTGCCTGCCTAATATATGCAGATCCCACAGCCTTCTGACATTGATGAATTTTTAGATCTTCGGATAAACATCCTCTCGTGGCCTCTTTGCATAAGTGATATATTTACTATTCCAGGGGCTCCTTAGTTTGCCATGCCAACAAAACCCTTTTTTAGGCCTGCAAATCATGAGATGACATGTTTACCACTGTCAAAATGAAGAATGACCGAGATCTGAATTACTTTCAAGTGTGAGATAACGGGGGTGATTTGGAGCTAGCCGACATGCTTTGTTCACACTTCAATTTACTTTTGAGTTCTCAAGCTTCCTCTCATTTGGAAATAACAGCGACAACAATAGCAAACCAAGTCAGTTGCTGAAGCAAATCTAAATACCAGCAAGTTTCATGCCAATGAAATTAATACTACATTGGTTTAGCTTTAAGGTCAACCAGAAATAATCTCCTAACAAATAAAACGATCGATGATAAGGAAAGGTGCTTGGGTCACAAAGACTTTACTCAATTCAAGGTCTGACTGGTTGGTCTTAGAAAATATTTAACAATTGAGAGGATACTGAAGTCTACTAACAGCAAGACTGGTCCAAGTATAGCCTACTTATACCAAGACAACAAACATTTATGAAATCAACTGAATGATAACAAAGTGATACAAGAAAAACTAAAGATAACAGATGTAATAACTGCAATAAATCAATGTGCTGAAATATTCTGCCAGTCTTTCATTTAGCCTTTGTGCCCACTGCATGCTTTATGGCATTGCTCAACACACAATGCCAAAAATAATTATTTATGTACCAAGTGAACTCAACATAATCTTAAGCAACCAGTCTTATAAAGCCCAAATACTTCACTGCAGATCGGTCTTTAAACATAACACAGACATCTAGTTTTGATAAGAGCTAACATCTAATGATTGGCCAACACTGGGCTGGCCATAGATCCAAAACGTCTGGTTTAAAGGAATACTTATGCCAAAAACCGCCATCACCCATTCATGCTTATGTCACTGTAAACCCGTAATATTTTCTTTCTTCTGTGAATGCTACAAATGGACCATACCAAGTTCATAAGGCAAAGACAACATTTCTATTACCACTATTATTTGAACACTATTATACAATAGTATTCTATATTAGGGCTGTCAAAAAAATAAGAATTTCGAATATTCGTCAAATTTAAAATAAAAATCCACATTCGAATGCAAAAACGTTGCATTCGAATTTTAAATGTCTAAAAATCCTGATTGGAGTGTATTAATATAAATAATTCTACATGATAAAAATAAGGCTTTAAAAAGATCGGTGATCATATCAGCAGATACTGCTTTCTATGATCTGCGATCGGTGATCGGCTTCAAAAATCCTGATTGGAGCACCCCAATCATAATACCTTTATAATACCTTTAAAAATATCAATATTCAATATTTCAAATACCACAGGCAAAATTCTTTACAGTATACAAGTTAAATTAATTTTGACTATTTTCTTATCAACTGAAACTGCTGTCTGAGAATCCTCAGTGATTATATAATAATAA